ACGATTAATCACTCTAAATGACCTATATATTCGTATGAATATTTTGTCTGTGCAGACCTCTACTATGTCTACAAGACACACACCAACTTTCAAAGATTAACAAGCTCTTTAGTTTCTTATGAGCTCCTTCCTTCTCATTACACTCACACACACACATGCACACACAGTTCCTGCCAAACCTTTGATCTACCGGCAACAGGATCATGAATAGTCACGCTGACATTAACACTCATTGAACGCTTCACTCTAACTGCCATTCATGGATTGTGCCTTTGTGTCTTTAATCTCTGTTGATTGGTCGTCTTCGAATTAAAAAGAGGCACTGTTTGTATTTGATTGGCCATAATAGCGTTGTCACTGGAACAATATAGGAGATCTATCTCATCTCATCGCCCTAATAGGGTTTTACGAAAGCCAAAAACTTAAGAACAATTTTCCGCTGCGCTTTCATGTGGTCCTGCCGTGTTTTAAAGATGAGATTAATTCTTCATATCAGCAATCTGATTGTGGACGCGTGTATCTCATGCATGTTTTATAACAGCTCTTTCTTCTGCTGCGTCAAACCTTTTCTTTAGGAAAAAAAAAAAAAATCTAAATTATTCATCTGTGTTTTGGTGCATTCCTCCTGCAGAACGAGAAAGAGAGGGAGAATGAATTGAGGGTCTTCCTTTTTTTTTCTGAGGGTCCCACGTGGACTGCATTCTGATAGAGACATGAGGTTTTTGGGCCTGAGAGAGAGAGAGACAAAACGAGGTAAAATAATCCGAGAGTGCTGGTCAAAGAGAGCCAAGTGCTGTTTTGAATAGGTGAAATGGCACAGCGCTGACATCACATAATCCTTATTTTATTAATGTTAGCTCAAGAACTCTCATATTCAGACAAAACACCTTAGGTTTCTCTCTCATTGCCCCTCTCTCCACTCGCTGGGATATTCCTTTGATATTCCATCTTTTTAAGGCTAGAAAACATTTAATAATAAAGACAGAACCTCTGTGAATTGCATCAGCCTGTCCTGCTTAAAGAAACACACGCACAAACTTGCAAAGTCTCACTGTTAATGGTGCCACAAATGACTTTGCAGCCCCAGTGCTTGTCATGCACAACACGTCAAAATTGCATCTTTAGCTCTCCTCAATGAGGAAATAATTAGCGTTAGGTTTGAGCTTTAAGATCATTTTCAGGTAAAATTACTCTGTCAAGGTCCTGATCACCCTGTTGGGGCTTTTATTACCCTGTATAATTACCCCTTATGTAGCTTGCAACTTTCCATTGAACAGTACATACTGCAGCTTATTCTGGCCAAGAATTGACCACTTAGATGGAATGAGACTGTCTGATTGACATTTAAAGTGACAAATCACAGTTTTTATGCTTATTACACTATTATTACACTATTATTATCATGTAATAGTAGACTTAATGACTTCAAATGGTGCTTCGGTCCGTGAGCAGACTGTGAGTGAGGCTAAGACTAAGTTAAAATGGATCTTCTGCCATTGTGCCATTGAACAAATGTCATGTCTTTTTAATATCATACTTATCAATAACTGGCGACGAGCCTAGTTGTTAAAAACGCATCTGAACCCCCGTTGTGTTCCGTTTAAACTGTTTTTGAACTCGAGTACAGGTATGTGTCGTGTGTGCCCGCTAAGACTGCATTTGGAAGCCCCTGAGGGGACAATAAACCCAGTTTCAGGACTGTTTTGAGATGAAATACCCAAAAGTCCAGCCTAGTAACATAGACAGCCATTCAAGATGGGTTGTCATGGCTAGGAGTGATTGGACATTGACCTTTTAATCACTGTTATAGACAAGACAATTAGGCATAAGAGAAGAAAAGTGAAAAACACTCGGAGAGAGAGAGGGGGAATACTGCAGGAAAGCACAGAGGAAGAGAAAGCAGGAAGATACTCTAACTAGGTCAATTCATTAAACTGTAAATGCAATACAACGACTTGACAGAGAACGTTATGTTTGTGCGATGGACTGTACATGATTTTATAATCGGCCTGCTTTGGCTTTGAGTGTGTGTGTCTGCACACATTGTCCCAGGGCACTGTCTATGCATGCAGAGATCTCATCTCTCTCACCCTCCACCACACTTTCTCTGTATAGGTTTTCTTTTTTGTCTTGTCTTGTCTCGTCACCTCTCTTTCCTTTTTGCCTTCTCACGTCTTGTCACTTCTCTTTTCTTATCTTATTGTGTACTCGTCTTTTTACTTTCTCATCATTTCATTTTGTCTCGTCTCGTCTTTTCTCTTCGTATTTGATCTCATCTTGTCCTATTCTTTTCTCTTCTTGTCTCATCTTTATTGTTCTTTTCTTATTTAGTCTCACCCCGTCTCATCTTATCTCATCTTTTCTTATCTTTCTAATCTAATTTCAACTTATTCTTTTTCTCATTTCGTCTCTCTGCTTCGCTTCTCGTTACTTCCCTTATATTGGACTAATCAATCATAATGGGCCCTATGGACTCAACCAATTGTGAGTGATCAGGCATCATCCTCAGACGGAGCTAATCAAATAATCAAATACCATTGCCAGAGATCATAGGTAACCAGTGTTCATGCCTTGCATATATTTTGTCTTTGGCTTTCAGTAGCTCTGCTCGCCTTCAACCCTCACGCAGACAGACGTAGATTTTCATGTTGCAAAACAAATGCCAAAAATGCCCCCCCTGCGAGTTGCAATGAAAAACAGCGTGAACTAGAATTGATCGGTAATACATTTGGCATTTTCATCTAGCCGTTAAGTTCCCTGCCCACATCTGACTATATGCCTGCCACTCAGAAACACTCCCTGCTGGACAACCATTACATTTACAGTGACTAGCACATGTGAGACTGGAAGAGGGGCTGACGGTAGAGAAAAACAGAGAGAGAGAAAGAAAAGGAGGTGGCAGATGGAGCAGATAGACGTTTGGAACTGGTTGTTTTATGCCTCTAACCAATTTTATTTGCATGACATCTGTAATTGAAATCACTTTGGTCACTGTAATGCAGATCAGCATTGAAGGAAAACACTTTTTTGAAGTGATGGGATCTGCAACTATTGCAGGTACTGTTATAGGACATTAACGGGGCACCTCAGGACCGCAGGTGTTTGGTAAACAAATTACTTTGGCAATTATTGCAAGTGTTATGAATGATCGTAGCCAATTGTGCAAGGTGCAACACAAAATTTTGTCCTTTAATGAATCGGTGCCCTTGATCCTCTGATGTGTTTTTCTCGCGATTAAACATTCATAAGCCGTAATAAACACAATGCATTTTTAAACAGGCATATCTGGAAGACATTTGGAAGAGGGAGAGAGAGTGATAAACTTGTGAAAGGAGGAGACATTTAAAGAGAGAAGAGGTAAATATGTTTTTCTGGAATGGAGAGAATGAGAGAGAGATGGAGGGGTAGGAACAGATGGTGAAAAGAAAGAGCAATGACAAAAGGTTATTTCCAGATGAGTGTGACTATTTAACAAAATGTTCCTATTGGGAGAACAAATGGGCTTCTTAGAATTGCACATACAACACACACTCAGAACCCTCGTTTAACTAATCCACGTCCCTGGTGATGTTCTGCTTTCCCACCGCAGAACTAATTCATCAAAACAATGGTCCTCAAAAAGCCTGTAGTGTTGTCTCTGAGAGGAAGAAAAAAAACAGCATGAGTAGCACTGATGTATAACCTAACCTTGCGTGTCTCAAAACTTGGCACGCTAAACAGGAGAAACTGCTCAGAACTGCTCATATTTTTTTTCTGCACAACAATAATCAAATCTTTGATGATTGAATAAGTGCAATTCACATTTTTTTTTCCACAAGGTGTCAATGTCTGATACACAATGATGAAGTGACGTTTCACTCATAGTTACCGCAGGCAGAAAACAAAAGAATAGGAAGTATCATCAGCAAAACTTGAAATGGTTCAGCAATTTACTGCAGAGCAAATATTAGTGGCACTGTCACTTGATGGTGGATCTGTCAAGAAGCTGTCAGTGATTAAAATGTTGATTTAGTAAATTATAGTTTTAAGAATATGTTTGAGATCACGAATATGAGCCAGATGCTGAATGTACTGGGAAATGAGCTCTGACGAGGACAGTGACGATGGTATAAAACATCTGCTCAAACCGAACCCTTCCAAGCTACAAAAGCTAACCAAATATGCTTTATTTTATTCTTCTGTAATTGTTACTCTAATATCAGAGTTTTATAGTATCACTACAGGTAGAGATCCATCCCTGTTATATATAGATCCAGGACGCTAAAAACCAGAGAATGTAATACTGATTAGCGAAGCATTTATGCATTTAAGGGTTAAGCCAGTGTGTCTTAATTCTAGTCCTGGGAACCCACCTCCCAGAAGATGTCTCACTTATTAAAACACCTGATTCAACTCATCAGCGTGTTAGTGCGTTAAATAGAGAGACATTTAAAACATTCTGGGAAGAGGGTCCTGAGGACTGAAGTTGAGAGACACTGCTTTAAGCGAATCACTCTTTATGTCCACTTGTTTATTTCACTTAGCTTTCGGTTCTTCACCACTCATATATAAAGAAGTCCCTATTTTAGCGTGCTTGGAGTCATTCACAGAAGGCACATTCTTGCATCCCATCTCTGCAACTTTTCCTTTTTGCCTATGTTGACAAATAAAATTAGGACAAAGGTGGATGCTCTTGAGATAGATGAAACTCTAGTACCAAATATAGAGTTTTGGCTTTTTCTAATTGTTTAAACAGCACTTCTTTAGTTGTTATTCTCATATGGATACAAGATACGATCTGTCCTCTGGGGTGTTGGGCATCCTGGACAACAGCAGGCTTCCCAATGCTAGCCAGCACCAGGCTAACAGCACTAGCTGTGGCCCAAAAACAACATGAGCTGTCAGAAAGGGTTATCACAGCCCAGTGAATCAGACGGGAGCAGGGGAGGGACAAGAGGAAGGAGGAGGGAGCCAGTGAGGGTGGATGGGTGGGAGTGTTACTGCGAGAGAGAGAGAAAGAGAGAGAGAGGATTCAGATGCCAGAGGAAGGGCCAGCGTACACCCGCCACAACTGAAAGCACAAGGATCGTGTGCGTGTGTAGTGCATGCTTGCATTCGGAGTAACGGCGATGTTGGAGCACTCGTCTGAGCTGGGCTTTGTGCCGAGTGTGTGTGTGGACAGCATGCGATACTCATCTACCGCGAACAGCGCTGTCTCCATGAGGAGCACAGAAGAACTGCTGCTGAGGTAACGCTGTCCCTGGACAGAACACAAAGGCATACATGCACACACACACACACACACACAGATCAGGGTATCTCCGAAAGGTTTGCCGTTCATAGCTGCAGGCATGCGGCGAGCCATTTCAGGAATGTTTTGTTGAGGGAAGCCTGCGGTTTTGTTGGCTTGGTTCGTTGACATGCCGATTGTAGGCCGTTTGAGCTGTGCTTGCATGCAGTTGTGTTTTTGTCAAATTGCGGGACCCTGTCTGTGCTGTACCGTCGGCACTCGTCTTGCCAACCGTAGAAATGCACAGCTTGCAATGTCCCCCTCTCTTATTTCTCATCCCCTACGGTTCGTTTGGAGCCTCTTTACAAACTGAAGAGTTGATACAGCTATAGAGAAGTATTTAGAGATGTGTGTACATGCACGCAGGATAATGCGCGTGTGTGTGCAAGCGAAACAGTGTGACAGAAAGAGACATCAAATTCTTTATAATAAAATTGTGCATGCAAATCACTGTCCTCCCTTATTGCACTTATTGCGGTCGCGTTTCCGTGCAAGCGTTCTTAATCCGTAATAAATCACCTTAGTGTCTATGCGTACATTTAAGTGTGCAAACACACTTGCGAGGACCTAAATTCTGAGTTTGTTTGGATGTAATAATCGCATTAAACAAAGAGAGGGATGAGCAGGAGGGGTTAAGCCCCGTCCCGCCACTAGAAAGATGTCTGCTTTTGTTTGCACGCCTCTCTGACGATTGGATTTAAAAGGGTGTGGGGGGGGTGGGGGTCTAGAGAGGGATGGAGGGGAGCATTCGGTGGAGAGATGGAAGGAGGGTAGCGCTGAAAGCATTCTCAACAATGGGACGCCCCAACAATGAGGCTGTCACTCACTTTGTGGCTTCCTTTCTACCTCTCTTCTCATCTCTGTCTCTGGCCATTTTTTAAAACTGGAGAAGGGTGCTAATCGGGCCGTGTCGGGTTGGTTTTTATCCCAGGGTTATGGGCAGTTAATAACGCAGGCTTTTAATGTGCGGAGTGTAATGGGGTGTGAGGGCATTAGTTGGGCCAGAGAGGCGGCCATGTTGGTTTAAAGAGTAGATTTATGGCCTTTTACTCATTCATTGTACTTGTGCTCAATGGCTTTTAAAATAGCCCCTAAGGAACATGAATCTCTCCAATGACTGCGGTCAGGTCTTCTTGTAACACACAAACATACCTTGGCTATAACTCAACCTCCTCCAATAAAGAAATGTCAAATGTAAGCGTGCCATAAACATCACACACAAGCACGCTCATTAGAGAAATACGAAAATACCAAATATTAACAAATGTACCCCAAGGCGACTGGGACTGAATCTATGGACTTGAGAACGTTTATCGTTATTTGATGCAAAAATGATTTATGGAGCTACACGAAGGGCCACATTCAAGGGAAAACCATACATGCTGGGACTGTAAAAGAATCTATTGCGTGTGCCTCTGGCGGTTGATGTAATGCTTCGTCCGCTGAGGACTCACATCGATTTATGCCGCTGAGTTTCAACTTCAATCCGTATGATGCCGAATGTACTGTAATGATATCTAGAAATCCAATGACTTTATTTACTATTGATAGTAAGGTGTAATATTACAGATTTTGAACATATCTGAAACATTTCTTTTATGCTGTTTATATTTCGAAACCTAGTGGTCTGCCTACCTAGACTTCGACTATGGACATCACAGTCTCAAAACCTGATAAACTGCCAGCCCAGACATCATGTTTGGACAAAAACCTGAAGAGCTGCCTGCTTAGACAGCATTTTTAGTTATCATAGTCATGTTTAAATGTATGATGTTGTGTAGGTAGGCAGCTCACTAAGTGCAGCTTGTATGAGTGTGACTTTAGCTGACAAAGCTATAAATGATGTGTTTCGTACAGGATATTTAAGGGTTAAGCAATCACGGATAACACCAGGCCGGTTCTTAACGGACTGTCATAAAAGCTTACACTTTCTTCCTAAAACCACTCGTACAGCACTCCCGACTTTCCGCTACAACCATTGGAGTTTGTACTCTGCAATTAGTGGCTTGGAAAGCCTTTCATTATGGTAAAACAAGGCGATGGCGGTTGTGTCTTTGTGTGTCTGTGGCGACAGGCTGCTGCCACTGTGCATTCTGGGATATGTGCGCGAGCGTGTTGCAGAAATGGGTGGTTTTGTGTTATAGGAGAATGACCTGTCCCTAGGTGCCCAGCGTCGAGCTGTGGCTCAGCGAAGCTGCGCGAGTTTCAAATGAAAATAAATGAGAAGCAGTGACCAGCGCTCTCAGGGTCCCGCTTTAATGAGGGAAACGGGGGGGAGAGATGTTGAAACAAAGGAACGGGGGGAGATGGATAGAGAAAGGAAAGGAGAAAAAGGCTCTTTAATGAATGTAGGACTTGGAGAGAAATGGCAAATTTATTTAAACTCCAATTTTGCTACACAAGACCTGTTCAATTAAACCAGTAAGGTTCACTGCACTGGGCAACAATCACTCCGAGGTTGGCATTCTGGGATAGTGGGAAGCAGAAACGGGCCTTTAGTTTGAATGTTGGATGGTTTTATGATTTAGGAGACAGATTTAGTTCTGGATCAATATGACAGAAATGAATATTATGGGGAGTCTAATGCAATACGATTTGCTGTTGATATCATGTGATGTCATAATAGCATTGCTGCTGGTTGCCATGGTGATAATGCAAACAACTGAGGTCGAGTTAATGTTTAGAAGATTAACCAGGCTAGTGATCCCAGATTACAGTGACAGGCTTACATGCACTCTCTAGCAAACCACAATACTCAAGTGGATGATAGAGTTACAGTCAAATGTGTCATTAAACCACATGTGTTGTTATTCAGATAGGTAGCCTAGTTAGAAACATGTTGACAGTTCAAATGCATAGTGGACTTAAGATTCTCACCATAATATTGTACCAATGCAAAGACTTCCATTGAACACAAAAGGCTTTCAAGCTTCAATGCAGAATCTAAAACAATTGTGCACTATACACTATTGTGCATTACCGTAGTTTAGCCAAAATTAGACCAAAATTCATATAACTATTCAATGATAATCTTCCCCTCTGATAATCGTTTAACCGTTGCAACCAAATCATTGAGATCAAACTGGATTAGTCAAATTCATAAACAATTCATTCAGACATATTTTGTGAACCGAATCAAGCCTTAAGCCATCTTAACATGTAATATCTCTGACATTCGCGCATGGTTGTCGCAGTTTGTCCCCTAGTGGTGGTCGCACAGAACTTTCAAATTGGTCGTGAAGCAGGCTTTACCCTTCACTTATTCACCATGATAAAATAAATGTAAAAGTCACAAGAAAAGCATATTAGGATTACTAAGTCTAATCAATGTAATTGTTATGTAAAGGGAATATTTTGGACCATTTTAGTGGTGTAGAGTGGTAATTCTCACTTTGTCCTTTTAATTAGAATTCTTTGCATCTGGTCTAGAACTTCACGCAGTTCCTGTGATATGAACAAATTCATTAGGTCATGTGCATATGTCTGTGTGTGCTGATCTGATATGACTTGAGGCAAAATATCTATAGTATGAATTAGACCGTAACTGAGAGTATGCGTGTGTATGTGGGTGCTCTCACCCAAATGAGCACGCTCACTGCTTTACATAATCCATGAGTTAATCAAATATTCATGAGACCAAACAGACTCTTCTGACATACCGCTGGCAGCCCTTATGTCCATCTACATGCATGTATGTACACGGATAAAATGCTAGGGCTGACGTATATATTGTGCAACAAATGCCTCAGAAGGTAGAGATTTGGTTACCGCAATATATCTACATTTCTGTCACTAAGCAGGACCGCAGGATAGATGTTTACGGTTGTCAAGCAATGCGCAGTTTGCTGCATGAATTCGACCGACATGTGGTGTGCATATACTGGATATAAATATGGCTCATCCAATTTGAACTATACGTTTTATTTGATTATGTGATGCAAACATCAAAATGTAGTTTACAAATCATCCACTATGGGAAAAGTGCTTTGAGGTCGTAACATACAGTAGCATTGTGCAAGGGACCATGCTCCTGTAATCATAAGTTGTGTGGAAAAGTTGTTGCTGCCTCTAGTTTTCTTTTCAGTGAATTGGATTTAAAGGTACATTTTTGCTAGAGGCACGTTTTTACAATCAGGCTATGCTGACTTCTACCGGTTTGAGTCTTTTGTTTTTTCGAGGTGCTGTAAGGGATGTTAGCAGTTCTTAGGCTTAGTCGTTCCATTCTAAAAACTCCACCCTACAAAAATACAGTTGAAACCAGCGATGGAGAAGGAGCGCATTTGTCATTTTAAGTTGCTCACAAGAACCTCCCTTTGTGGCTGCTATGCTTCCTCGATTTTCTTAAGACCAGCCCTAATACATGGAGTCTTTTATCCCGCCCCATATCTGCCATCTTTAGCATGTTCTCCTTCGTCTTATCCTCCATCTAACTACCTTCCCTGCCCCCAACCCCTTTCTTATTCTCTCTCTCTCTCTCCTCTCTCTCTCTCTCTCTCTCTCATCTCTCTCTCTCTCCTCTCTCTCTCTCTCTCTCTCTCTCTCTCTCTCTCTCTCTCTCTCTCTCTCTCTCTCTCTCTCTCTCTCTCTCTCTCCTCTCTCTCTCTCTCTCTCTCTCACACACTCTCTCTCTCTCTCACTCTCACTCTCGCTGTGCGGGTTTTGAACTCCTGGTGTACTATTTTTGTCTCCGTGTATTGCAGCCTGCCGGGCTTGCCTTTCTCTCCCTCTCTCTTTCTCTCTTGTCTCCTTGCTCTCCTCCTACATGGTCAATCAATACGTGTTATAGGCCAGCTGGGTCCATACCCAAGGGGGAGAGGCATACAGAAAGAGAGAGAGAAGGTGTGAGACCGAGAGAGAGAGAGAGAGAGAGAGAGAGAGAGAGAGAGAGAGAGAGAGGAGAGAGAGAGAGAGAGAGAGAGAGAGAGAGAGAGAGAGAGAGAGAGTAGAGAGAGAGAGAG